AATATAAATTACGCTTGACCACTGAAGAAGGCCATTTGGCCGAAATGCATATGTCAGGGTCACATATGGTTTAGGTTTGATATTTATGTGTGGTTTTATTCTGATTTGAGGCTATTATTTGGGCCTATAACTGTTTTTAACCTTACTGTAATAAACACGTGTTTTTTGTAGAGACATCCAACTATTTGGCTCTTTGATTCCTATTTCTCTAACCTTTTGGTTCTTAATGCAAATTAGCCACAGACACCGTTCTCTTGCCTCCTTTTCAGCATCTTCAATAGGGAGGTGCTATGGGGGGGGGAGAACCAGGGCTCAGTGGCAGAGAGCATGTGCTTTGCACACTGAAGCTCTCCAGTTCAATCCCTGGCATCTCCAGGTAGTATGTGAAATTCTCTCTGCCTGAGACAATCAAGAACTGCTGCCAGTCATATTATACAGTGTGGCTGTATAATATAAAATTAATAAAAAGATAATTTAATAAAAAAAGAACTGCTGCCAGTCAGAACAGGCAATAGTGGTTTTGATAGACCAGTGACCTGTCTCAGTATAAGGCAGTTTCATGTGTAACACTGACCTTGCTTGCAGGGCTGTTGTAAGGATTATGGGCATGATGACTGTATGCACAAGACAACACTATTGTGCTATGTAAGGGCTAACAAATTTTTCAATGGAGAACTGTCACATCAGTCTGTGTTTAATCGCTCTCTGAAGACCCATGGCACAGTGGCTTCTGCTAAAGCAAAGTGGGTTTGACCCTGTGTGCGGCCTAAATGGGAAACATACAAACTGCTGTGAGCTTCTGTGAGGAAGAGTGCAGTTGAATAAATAAATACCATCCATGGACACTATAGCTTAAAAGGTCTTCTTCCATTGGTGGTTTCCTCTGCTTTCTGTGTTCCCCTGATTACCCTGATTTATTTATTTATATTCCAACACATGAAGCTGCCTTATACTGAATCAGACCTTCAGTCCATCATGGTCAGTGTTGTCTACTCAGACAGACTGACACCTGGCTCTTCACGCTCTCATCATCTGCTACCCAATCCTTTCAACTGGAGATGCTGTGGACTGAACGTGGGGCTTGGCTGCAGGGGAACAGGATCCTGATCTGCTTGGATACACTGGTAGCACAGTAAACCTGGATGAGGAGGGTACAGCAAAAAGAGAGGAGGCAAAGGAGGAGCTGTCCCCAATGTGCACATAGTCAGACACTAGCAGATACCCAGAATTAAACTTTGTTGGTCTTAAAGGTACCACTAGACTCAAACTTTGAATTCCTTTGTGTTTTGATTGTTCCTAATAAAAGTTATTACGTGGATTCTGCTTTGTGTTTTTATTTATAATTCCACATTCTGTGCACTATGCCAGCTGGGGCCATTTGGTGTCCACATTGTTGTTTAATTTTGTATTCCTGGTCATATGTACTAACATTCAGTTTTGTATACACAGTTCTATTGCACTGTTCATTTGTATTATTCATTGTATATCTTATACTGTATGTTCACATGGTTGTTTGCATTATCGTTCAATTTTGTTCTCCTAGTCCTACTGCATTGTTCATGCAATGTTCTATATTGTATGATTTTTTTCACTCTCTGCACTTTGTAATCTGCCTTGAGTCTCAGCGAGAAATGCTGGGTATAAATAAGCCCAATACAAGAGATAACAATTCCACTCCTAATTACTTTAAGGCACCATCTTACAGCTCACATTTTACAAAACATCTTTTTATAAAAACATACAAACATACATTTTCCATGTGTGTCATAGTATTTAAGATAAGATTTTAGTTGATGAGAAAGAGGTGCCTTTTTTTTTTTTTACATTAAGGCAAATCAGTATGTTCAATGCTGGTTTTGGGGAAAAGGGGAAAGAAAATAAACCCACAGGTGGAATGATATTAAATTTGCTATTTAAAATTGGGAGTATTATTTTAAAAATTACCTCTTAGTAGATGCCACTATTCCACATTCAAAATGTTTTCTTTGTACTTGAGAAACAATAGGAATGTCTTTGATTCTATACAGGATTTGCAAAAGCTTACATCATACAAATGCTTTCAGCATTTAAGCAAATGTATTGTTACCCATATAATTATTTCTGGAGAAGTTATTATGTCTCTTTAGTGTTAATTTCATTAACACTTTGCTAGTAGAGGTTTGGTTGTGCATAAGTGGTTGTAAGGTTCTTTACCAATACTATTAAAAAGATAATTTCCATGTTATTTTGGACTGTTACTTCTTAAAAGGGTGCAATTACTGAATTAAAACAATAACAGGGAAAAGTCCAAAAAAGATGACAGAAAAAGACAGTTCCACTCTCTACGATACTAATGAGGGCTGTGGAATCAGCATTCTGTGCAATGGGATCCCCTGTATCTTCTGTCTTTTGTTGAGCCTCATTTGTGGAATCAATATGCACAATAGCAAAATTGTCTCCCTTTCACAGAAGGTGAAGAAGTATAAGTACTACCTTTCCATTTCACTTAGAATCTTGGTTTTCATACCCCATCAATAATACTTGCAAATAGAAGACTTTAAGCTGCAATAGGTTTTTGACAAATCTGTTTCCTATACTTGGATGTTTTTAGTAGTTTAAAACATACTAAAATGTGGTAACAGCATAAAATGAATTCTGTCATTTAGAAAAAAAGTGTTATATTATTCATTCATTATTGATTAATCTCTGAGGTGAATATATATTAAGAACTATCTATCTATTTATCTATCTAATCACTAAGTGTATGTTAATCAATATTTTTTTATTATAGTTCATTGTACAAAGAATCAAATGGGGATGACAGTAATTTCCTTCAAATGTACAAACTCTGACATTCCCTATTTACTTTTTAAAACAGAATTTTTAAACAAAAAACAAGGAAGAAAATATTTTAAGAGTGTTTGTGGGTCCACTTTGAAAGTACTGTATCTTGGATATGACTTTCACAGTCTGCTGGCAGTTTGTAGGAAAAACACCACACCTGTGACTCTGCTGTTGATTAATGAGTCTTTCAACTTATCGCTACCATCTGAAGAAGGGCCATGGCCCTTCCAAGCTTCACTGGTTCATTCACTTTCAACTGCAGTGCTCTCTAGCTTTCTTCTATACAGAAAACTACACCTGGTTAAAGCAAATGAAAACCTCAATATGTCATTTTCCAGACAAGTCAAAAAGCATGTAAAACTAGACAAAAGATGTATTCAAGCAACATGAATACAGTTTTGTCATAACCTGTCAATCTAGAGAGGCTAATAAAAAAAGCTTGCTTCAGTGACATATTTCATATTGCAAACTTTGAGAATGACAATAGTGACTTCTTTCTTTACTATATAGATGCAGATCCTACAACATAGGATTTTACCCCACAAAACAATGCTCTGTTGCAGATACAAGAAAAATCATGTCCATATAAAATAGCCCACTGGGTATGTTTAAGTTGTATCTGAATTGTGTTAAGGAGTGCAAAGAGTGTCATATCTTGAAAGGCCTTTTTAGTCCTATCTTTATCATACTTTGCCCTACTTCAACTAATACATCGCTCTTTTCTCACATCTTTTACAGCGCCCCCCTAGATACGCAACATATTTTATGGACTGTCTAAAAGCCGTGATTTGGTGAAAGATATTTTAAGAACACAAAGGGAATGTTGCTTTTTATGCTACACTTACTGTGTCTTAATTTCACAGTACACAATGACAACAGCGTATGTTGATCACTAGTGAGAAATCAATGTCAATGGTATAAGAAGTATCACGGAAGTGAATATCCCAAAAGAAAAAAAAATCCCATGAACATACCTTTATTATCCCATGAACATACCTTTATTATCAATATATTCCTATCAAAACCCTCATTAAACATGTACCTCTCTACAAACTATGTGATATCCAAACTGACTGATCAATTATATTTTGTAAGCGGACTAAAAGTCTGATCTTCTTAGAAGTCAATTTCGATATCACATAGTTTGTACAGAGTTACATTAATGAGAATTTTGGTAGGAATACATTGATGTTTTAATGATTATATTTAGTTAATATTCATGATTTTTCTTTTTGGTTATTCATGAGTGGAAAATGGCATTAAAAATGGCATTCTCAAAATATACACATCACATATTAAAAATATTACATTCACTTCCAAACTGTTCATTTTTGCTTTTGATAGAAAACCCTATAATCTAACAAAAACAGCTGGACCAAGTACTGCTTGAAAAAGAATGGTACAAACAATTCCTCATGAACTGGATTCCAAAGATTTACAGTTGGAGACCAGTTATCTTTGGTGTGGAATCCTATCCCCCATGCCCTTCAAGCGCTATGAAAAGCATTTAGGCCAAAACATTTATAGTTTTGGTTGGCTGTCATTTCGTAGAAAAAGAGGTGCAGGAACTCATTAGCCTATAACTAATTAGCATATGCCACGCCCCCTGACATCACCGGAAGTGATGTCAGAAGGGGAAGCAAAAAAGGGGGGGAGGCATCTTCAAAAGCCTCCCCTTCCTTCCCTTCCCCAGCAGAGAAGAGAGAAGGGGTTTAAAGTTTAAACCACTTCTCTCTAGAGTATTCTATGGCCCCAATTATCGTTCAGTCTTTAATTTGCCATTCCACAGCAAGACAATAAAACAGCAGCAGAACAACTCCAGGTCTTCCTGGATAACTCATCTGTTCTAGACCCCTTTCAGTCTGGTCTCAGAACAGGCCGTGGGATATAGACAGCACTGGGCCTTGGTTGATTTTCTTGGTTTGACTGTGGACAAGGGCCAAGCCTTTCTGTTATTCTTCCTGGATCTGTCAGCAGTGTTTGATACTGTGAACCACGACATCTTGTTGAGGAGTCTGGAGGCACAAGTAGGGATTAATGGTTCTACCTTGGATTGATTAAAATCATTCTTTATAGGCAGGATTTACAGAGTTGCTGTTTGAGACCACCTGTCATTAGTGTGGGACTTGTCTTGTGGGATTCCTCAGGGCTCAGTCATTCCCCATACTACTCAATCTCTATGTAAAGCCCTTAGGAGAAATCATTTGGGATAGGCTGTCATCAACATGCTGATAACACCCAGCTGTAGAGTCTTCAACCAATGCTGATAATACTGTAGAGTCTTCAACCAATGCCTTACTGCTGTGGCTAAATGGGTAAGGACGAACAAATTAAGATTGAATCCTGATAAAACGGAGGTAATGCTAGTTGATAAGGCAGAAGTTTTGAAGGACACTGTGCTTCCCCCCTTCTGGTGGTTCCAGCTGATCCTTGCTCATTTATTTAAGAAGGGATTATACAAGATCCAGCAGTATTAATGGAAAAACAAGTTAATGCAGCAGTGAAAAAAGCATTCTACCAGCTTCATTCATCCCAGAAGATCCACAAACACACATTGACAGCAGTGATATGGCCACATGGATGCATGCTATGATTACCTTGAGATGAAACTATTATAATGCTGTCTACATGGGTCTGCCCTTAAAGACAATATGAGAGTTCCAGTTGGTGCAGAATGCAGCAGCCCAGGTACTGTCAGATCCTGGGCATAACATCCCATTCTACATACATTGCACGGGTTACCAATCAGTTACGAAATCCAATTCAGGGTTCTAGTTATCACCTACAAAGCCCTTAAAGCATTCGACCCACACACCTGCAGGACCACCTCTCCTGCTAGGCTCTTCAATAACAGCTTCAGTCATCTGAGCAGAAGTCCTCAAAAAGTGCAACACTGAAAATTGGCAGCTGCCCATTTACATGCATTCTCAGTGGTGGTTTCCTGCTTATGGAACAGCCTGCCTGAGCTGGTGATGAAGGCTCCCATAAAACAGAAAAGTTCAGGAGAGCATTTTTAAAAGAGAGATTGAACCTGTATTAGAATGGAACAACCCAGGAAGACACCTTATAATGGAACAGGATGTAGTACATTGCTATTACTGCAGGACAAGCGGGGAACGGTAAGGAACTTGCAGGGCCATGGGACAGCAGTACTGATGGGGGGCAGGGAGTCTGGCATTGATGGTGGAGGGCAGGGAGCTGCTCTGAGCCAGCAGTGGCAATGGTGGGGAAGCGGCAGAAAGCCCACTGGTGAGTGGAGGAGGTATGTCTGGTGGCTACAAGGAGGCTGAGAGCTGTGGCAGGCCCAGCAGTAGAAGTAAAGTGTCTCTCTGAGCTTCGGCGGTACCTTGAAGGCCACTTGGCATCAGAAGCAGCCACAGAGGGCCACCTGATGACAATGGCGTTGTAGCTGGCCCCTCAGGACCCATGAAAGTGGGCAAGGATGGGGGTGGAAATGCCTTCACCCCTGGACAGCACCCCTGCCACCAGCTCCAATGGTGAAAATAGAAAAGGAAGCCTGGGTCCCAGTGGCAGCTGCCTCACCACCAGGAGCTTCCCCAAATGTGGAGATGGGGGACTCTGAGTCCTGCATTGACAGAGGAGGTAGGTGTGTTGTTCTGTGCTTGCCCAGATAATACTCTTGAAATTGGTGGGGGATTTAAATCCCTGAATGTATTTTTTCAATGTTTTCAGATTTTTCTGAAAACCTAGAGAGTCCCCCAAGTTTGCAGAAGTATCTGTTTTATGGCATTGTGGACCCAATCTACAGATTTAAGTATCCATGGATGGACGCATACTTGACTATTAAATATATGATTAATTGCTTCTACTGCACTGCTGTATATCTTGTAATCTACTTCCTGTTATTGTTCATAGTATACCTTGCCTTAGACAATTAACTATTTGCATTGTTCTCTAATCCTAGTCCAACTGCATTGTTTACTGGTTGCCTTATGCTCACTGATTGCACAGCTTTATATCTTCTAGTCTGCCCTGAGTCTCAGAAAGAAAGGTGGACTATAATCAAAGTGACTAAATAGATGCACAAGGCACTTTATAGCATAAAAGTTAGCAGAGTCCATCCTCTGCCCCAAGATAGAAAGTGAATAGAAATTCATGCAACAAACAGCCCTTAAATTCTGAGCAACACCACAAGCCTATGAATATTTAGGATTTTAGATTACGTCCAGTTTTGCTTGAAACTTGGGCTCATCTACACAAGCATTTTGGACTGTAATTCAGTTGTTGCCAAACACTATATTACAATAGAGCTTTAGATACATCATCAGGAATACGGATCTTGTTAAAGGAGTACATGGAAAAGAGTTCATATTTAAGTGTGTGCATGAGAGAAAGTAAAAACATTAAACTTGAAAAAAGTATTCAAGAACAAAAGCCATAGCCATGCAATACGTTTTATTAATACTATTAATACCAAACAAAAATTACACAGCACAGTATGAAAGCTTTCAAGCTCTTCAAAATTCTTCAACAGACTGGATTAAAAAGCAGACAGGAGTGGAGGAAAAAAGTCTCTTAGGCAGTCTAATGCAAGAGGTTTGGAGAGATTTGCAGTACAATCCTAATAGAGGTGCCAAACAGTGACCACCACCCAGCAGGAGACCAAAGGGCAAGGACGTATCTACTACATGACATCATTTCCAGGGCAAACCTAGAAGTGAGCACAGCAAAGGCTCAGGCCTCAAGTGGCCCTGCTCGAATATAATCACTCCACTGACTCAGCCTTCAGTTACTATTCACAGTTACAAATGATAGCAGGGCATCCAGTTCTGTTGCAATCATGAGTCACTGTTCAATAAATTCAGTCAATCAATCTTTCCTTATTTTAATTTTCCTCACTCTCTTTCCACATTTTTCCATGGGACATCTGTGTGCTTTGCCTCAGAAAAGAGCCTTGAGCAGGGGTTTTCAGTTACCAAGTGGTGGCTAGTATTCTCTCACATTTAGATAGAGCCATCCCACTGCTTTTCTCTGGACAGTGAGAGGAAAATGGGAGAGCTGCAGAGATACATACATTGTGATTTCACTTACAGGTTTTCACCAGAAGTGTCATCACAAATATCCTGTGACACTCTAGGAATTACCATAGAGATGGCTATGATGTCACCTATGGGTTTTCTCTGCAAGTAATGTTTGATGCACACAGTGGTTTTTAAAAGGCTTCTGCCCTCCCAGGCAATCCTATGCTTGTACCTTTAACAAGAATGCAGAGAAAAATGCATCCTAGCTATGAATGTAGGAAAGAACTTGGCTGGGATTCATAAAGAAAAGAAGGAAGACGACAAAGTTTGGTTAAGGAGGGTATTGACAGTCTGCAAGCCCTAGACTGGTAGTAAGTTCATTAAGACTGTTATTTTACTTTTACAGTAAAGAGCAAATAGCAAGCAGCTGAGCTTGCCCGGGCACTTCCATTGTGCCTTAATGAACCAGCTGCTCCTGATTTATCTTACCATTTGCATGGACAAAGTGGGAGACCTGCAAAGACTTATGGCGAGGCATCTCATTGTCCCTCCCTCACTATTTCCTCTTTAACATCCCTGAAAGCCCCTACAGCCTCCTGTTTTGCTCCTTCCTTCACTCCTTCCCACTCACCAGCCAACCTACCTTTATCTGTGCCCCCAGTCTTCAGTTTCCCCTCCTTCCCTCCCTCTGCCAGCTTCTACCCAGAAAAGCCGTGATGGAAGTAAGAAGTGGGGTCCCACAAGGATTGGTACTGGGGCCAATTCTGATTAATTTATTCATAAGTGATCTTGAAGTAGGGGTGAGTAGTGTAGTGGCCAAGTTTGCAGATGACAAAAATTATTCAGGATGGTGGAAACCAAGGCTGACTGTGAAGAGCTCCAAGAGGATCCCCACAAACTGAGTGAGTGGACCACAGTGTGGCAAATGAAGTTCAGTGTTGGTAAGTGTAAAGTGATGCACAATGGGACAAAAGAATCCCAACTTCAAGTATAGGCTAATGGAGTCTGAACTTGCTGTGAAGGAGATCTTGGGGTCGTAGTGGATAGCTGAATGAAAGTCTCAACCCAGTGTGCTAAAGCAATGAAAAAGGCAAACTCTGTGTTGGGGATTATTAGGAAATGGATTGAAAATAAAACAGCTGATGTTATAATGCCCCTGTATAGATTTATGGTGCAACCTCATTTTTAATACTATGTACAGTTCTGGTCACCATATCTCAAAAAAGAAATTGCAGAGCTGGGGAAAAGTACAGAGGAGGGAAACCAAGATGATTAGGGGGGTTGGAGCACCTTCCTTATGAGGAAAGGCTGAAGAGACTGGGACTTTTCAGTTCAGAAAAGAGACGACTAAGGGGGGGACATGATAGAGGTTTATAAAATTATGCATAGGGTGGAGAGAGTTGACAAAGATACATGTTTCTTGCTCTCCCACAATACTAGAACTCGAGGGCATCCAATGAAGCTGATGGGCAGTATATTCAGGACAGACCAAAGGAAATACTTCTTTACACAGAGTGATTCAAATGTGGAATTTTCTGCCAGAGGATGTAGTGGTGGCCACAGCAATAAACAGTTTTAAAAGGGGATTAGATAGATTCATGGAGGATTATCAGTGGCTACTAGCCATGGTGACTGAGGGGAACCTCCACATTCAGAGTCACTAAGACTCTGAATCCCAGAGCCAGGAGGCAACATCTGGGGAAGGTCTTGACCTCTATGCCCTATTGTTGGCCCTCCGAAGGAACTGATTGGCCACTGTGTGAGACAGGATGCTGGACTAGATGGACTACTGGTCTGATCCAGCAGGGCTCTTCTTATGTTCAGGTTGTGTAGTACTGTCCACTTGGGCTAAGTGGCACAGTGGTGAACCCATAAGGACTTGCTTGGGGCACCTCACTTTCCCCTGCACCTCCTTCTGTCACTATTTCCTCTTTTGCTGTTATATCCTCACCTTGTGGTGCTTCCATCTCTCCTTTCCACTCACCAGCCAACCTACCTTTTTTTCTTTCCCCCCATCTTCAGGTATATTTATTATTTGTTTACTTCATTTATACCCCACCTTTCTCCACAATGGGGACCTAAACACTCCCTCTGTCCATCTCCCAGTGCATGTCATCCACAAGGGTGACCAAGGCTGTTCCAGTCACATAACCAAGCCTAAACCCAGACTGGAAGGGATCTAAACAATTTCCTTATCCAGGAATGCTTGGAGTTGTCCAGCCACCACCCGTTCAATCATCTTGCTCAAGAATAGAACATCTGAGAACCAGCCAATCCTGGTCATTGCCTCCCTCCCTGGAAAAGGCTTGGGAATAGTCTGGACCCCTTTGTGGCCTACTATGCTCTGACCTTCTCTTTGGCCTGGTCCCATCAGGCCACCATAGAGAGGCATGACTTTTGTTTCTGGCCTGCTAGATTTTAAAGCCACTAACGTTGCCAGTACCTGCTTCTGCCAACCTGAGGAAGCCAAGTCCCACAGGTGCACTGAGCTGAGCCTATGGAGCTGTAGGCAAGTCCTGCGTTCTCCTGCCCCGCCTTTGCAAGTCCTACCTTCCTGCCCTGCCTTTGCAGTGATCACAGGACCTACATCAGAGATCCCATCTGGCTCAGGCAAGATATTTCCTATAAACAATAAGAAACCTGCATTCTTTAATCTTTGCGACTGTTATACAAACAATCCATTCCAAAGGACAATGTCAAGCCCCTTAAAAATGTTCTGTTTGATACTAGAATTGCTTTAAGGCTAAAAATCTAATATCCATTTTGATATTCATGTGTACTACAGAAAATATATCAAAACACAGATGTGTTATGTGCTGCTAGGCATTCTGGAGCATGACCAATGGGGTACTGGGTCAGAACCATTTCCACAAATTGTTGGAGGAGATCCAGTGCATTATTACAGTAATTGGAGCTCAGAGAGCTGAATGCCAAAACACAGGAACTCAGATCAGAACAAAAAGATCTGACCCCCCCCCCCTTTTGTATATATTTTATAATATTTTGGCCAACTGTCATTTGAAGTAGTTGTACTTTCTGCACAGCATGAGGGTCTCTTTTTACAGCATCACTGTTCTTCTTTAAATTTTTTTAAAAGCTATTTATCATCTTTTTTCTACACTTACTGATCAGACTTATACATCTTTAATGCCATAAAAAGGTACTTCTGCATGCTCAATTGAACTTGCTAATATACTTTGCAAATGCATGACAATAAAAGAGTTTTTAAGCGTGTTGATGGAACAAGATTTTAAAACAGCATTTTCTGAATATATGGATAGTCAACAACACAGTAAACATTATAAATGTAAACATTTCTGCCATAAATAGCTCACCATATGGCAACCATTCACAACAGATGCTGTCTGTGTATCCACTAAAATATACATGATTTATTCAGTTTTGCTCTATGAAATTCTAAACTGGTAAAAACTAGCTACTTGAAAGTATTACAGGTGGTATCGTATTACATAGCTGTTGATTTGAGAAATAAATACTACAACTTTGTCCAACAGTATCCATCATACATGCATTATTAAAGGAAACAGTATTTCCTAACTGCAGGCCGCACAGTTTTATAGGCGCATGTGCAACAGCCAAGGTCTTTATTGCATGTTTAGTTCAAATAAGCTGAACCTACATGAACAGTGCCCCAGCCAAAGTGGAATCATACCCTTCTAAATTCATTGGCTTCAACAGACTTGGTGTAACTCTGTTTAAAATGACACTGAGTCAGCTCTGTGCTACTGGAGTGCAAATTACAATTCAGTAAATGGTAAAAACAATAACTGTTCCACTTAACATATAACTAATTTTGAATCATGCACTAAACTTTCAGTATTGATTTACTTTTCAATTACATGCTTTGTGTTATTAGTACACTATCTTCTCACACAAAGTTCAACATTCCATAGGAGTGCATTTTAATAACACGCACAATATGTTGGCTTCGCTTTGCAACACCCTCCTTACCTGCAACTTTTAGTATATGTTTATCTACCTAATGGATAAACATTCCATGCATCTGATGAAGCGAATTGTGACTCATAAAAACTTGGAATAAACACTGTTAGTTTTCACAGGTGCCACTGTTTTATTTTGCTGCTACAGACTAACATGGCTACCCATCTGGAATTCCATTCTCATCAGTACATCATTTGGTCCAGATATAACTGTAGCTCTTTATTGTTAAGTAACAGATCTTTACCACATGGCTCATGAATACTCTGTAGACAATTTATATGTGCAGAACTCTTAAATCATATTTAAGATATTACTGCAAGCTAGTACAGGCAATCCCTCATACCTGTATCTATTTTTTTTCTACACATAGTAATCAATCAGTTACAAATATACTAAAATCCACATTTCTCATGCCAGCATGTTCATTTGAATTGATCATTAGGATACACTAAAGTCAGAAAGGGCTATATACTAGGATATAAAGATCCCCAGGCATGCACATCAAGGCTCTCACAATTTGTTCTTCTGACTATAGCTTCTCTTGTTGCATTGTCACTCTTTAGACTCCCTCACCTTTTAGATCAGCTTGTTTAAGCAGTATGGATAGTTGCAGTAGGAAGGAGACTCAGAAATTCTAATGCACACCTAGAAATTTTCCAGATAGTCCTATAGAGTCCTCCCATATTTATTTTTCGACTTTTATTTAACTTTTCCCTTCCCTCAGTCCACTAATTTAAAATATGATTTTCCAAGTTGCCTTATATTTTATCTCATAAAGGAATTGTATGCAAAACACAAGGGTTACAGTACTGTAAGATATTTATATGCCAAAATGCTGTTACCTGTGCATCAGTAGCATCTTCAAGGTCATTTTATTTAGTCCAGGATAACTTGGCAGAAAATCTGACCAATCCCATTTCCACTCAATAATGGTGGACTGTTGATATATAAGAAGAAGGTATTGTTAGTTATTAATCAGAGTTAATATCAGTAAATTAAAGCTCCAGCTGTGATAGACTAACTAAGGAGGAGGGGGGGCCTGGAACAAGGGCTTAGACAGATAACATCAATCATGCCTACAGAAGAAGGGTATTATTCTAATAAGACAGCAATTAATTTATAAATCCATTTGGGGATGTAGCCATTATTTATATAAAGATAAATCAATTTTAAATCCTTATTCTTCCAACTGTTAATAGCATTTTGTCAAACTACTTTATCTGAAAGCCTGAAAAAGCAAAATAATTGTCAACTTTTGCAGCAATTTACATTTTTTTTACTATCAGCAAAGGTTTATCAATAGGAAAACCTTAACATAACCAGAATTTGGGATTATACTGTGTCTTAACTAGTGCAAAATGTTACCTATCCACTACTTTAAGGCAGTCCAGTTATCAAACGGTTATTATAAACAACTACAAACACAACACTGACACATGTAATATTCTCTAGTTTATTCAGTAATATTTAATGTTTTAGAAATTGTGTGAAATTGCTATATACAATAAGGATATACAATGCAATGTGTGAATATATAACATTAATGAATATTATATAATACCAAAATCTGTCATTATGTAGAAGTTGACTTTGTATGCCCCATGCACATGGGACCCCTTCCAGTAAAAGCTATTCCTGAGTGTCAAAAGCAGGGAAAGATTTTCCCTTATCAGAAAGGGAGAAAGTAAAAATTTATATTCAGGGCTGTAACTGAGGTGATATGTTCTGTTGTTGTTCAGTTGCACAGTCGAGTACGACTCTTTGCAACCCCATGGACCACATCACGCCAAACCCTCCTGTCTTCCGTGTTGGATCCCCAAGCATCGAGAATAAATCCACGTTTTGAAGAAAAGCAAAATTTATTTCAAAGCATTGGAAAGACACTCAAACACGTTCTTTGTTAGAACTGACTACAAACGGTTAGGGCAAACAAGATAAAGGGATTTGAACCAGGTACAGGACCAATGGGGCACTTTCCCGCTGGCGGGTGAAAGGAAACGGTTACGCGCTCATTCCCTGAGAACCAAGCTATCTCCAGACATAATACAGGTGCAGTTCCCAGGCTCTAAAAGCAACAAGCTGGCAGTAAAGCATACTCCCCCAATACATCCTCCAGTTGTTTGGCTTAGGCATTACAGCAGAGTAAAATACAGGCGTACAGGCAGGGGGGGGTGAGCAACTGTACAGAGATACAACCAACACAGAACACCATGGCAGCTTGCTGACATACTGCCCCCTCAAAAATACACATTAACCACCTTCTCCCGGGCAGGGCGGGAGAACTCCCGGTTTGGGCGAGAGACCTCCCGGTTTGTCCGGGAACTTCCTGTGGAATTCACGAAGCAGGAAAGGGGCCCGAATATCCCCTTCTTCCACCCATTCGCGGTGCTGGGGTCTGAAGTCAATCCATTCGATGAGGTACCAGAGCTTACCACGTTTAAGTCTGGAATCCAGGATATCAGCAATCTCAAAATGTTCATCCCCCTCAAGGAGAATAGGCGGAGGG